CAGAGACACCCATATAGGTGTAAGAAAGAGCTTTATATCAAGAAGTAGTTATATATCAGGAAAACACCCCAGGCCAGTACAGATCAATTCCATAAGTCCAATACTAGTCCATAAATCCCTCTTCAGTCTCACGAAGCTACATGCAATGATGCAGAATGCAGGAAGATCACCAGCCAGTGGGTGTAAAGTCTTGTAGATTCAATTGCGGTGGACACATCTCCAGGGCTCGTGAGCGTCTCTGAGTGGCTCCTCAACAGGAAGGTGAAGGCAGAGAGAGAGAGAGGGAGGTTCCCAGGACCCTCCTTAAGAAGAGGGCATGCCCATAAGGACTCCACCCCAACACTCCAAGTTGACATAAAATTGTGTAACTACCACAAATGGTTAAGCACCTACCTGCCAGTGGAAAGATTAAACAGTTCAAGCCCACTAACAGCTACCTGGGGATCTAATTCCATAAATATTACAGCCTTGGAAATCCAATGGGGCAATTCTATTCTATCCTACACAGTCATTGAGTCAGAATCAACTCAACAGCACACAACTACAACAAGTCACTGCCTGTGGGTCACTTGTTGACAATGGCTAACTGCTTTGGGAGTGAACTAAGTCTTTCACACAATAGATTAGCAGCTCTTCTCTGTGGGTTGGGTTCAATGAGAACGAGCTGAACCCAAAACATGAGAAAATAAAAAAAACCCAGAAACCCCGGAAGGGTTAAAGATGGAGATGATCTAGGCTCTATTTTCATGGAGAATGGAAGTCCACAGAGGAGAGTTATGAGGACAGGTGATGTATGAGCTCAAACACTTGGCAATCGAAGTGATATTGAGGGTAGAATCATGTGATGGTACTTTTGTTATTTTAAAAATGCAAGAAGAATTAAAGACAACTATTGTTGAATGGAATGGATGTGATAAGGAGGTGGCTTCCAATATAACTGAGAACAACTGCTACTCATTCGCGCTCGAATCCTCTCAATCTGGCCACTGAGCAAATCATCAGAGAAGCTGGATTATATGAAGGAGAATGTGACACCAGGATTGGAGGAAGGCTTATTAACTACTTGCGATATATAGATGACACAACCATACTTGCTAACTATGAGGAGGACTTGAAACACTTCAGTATGGATTACAACTCAATGTGAAGAAGACCAAAATCTTCACAAGTGGACCAGTAGGTAACATCGTGAGAAAGGGAGAAAAGTTTGAAGTTGTCAAGGATTTTGTCTTGCTTGGGTTCATCCATAATCAATGCTCATGGAAGCAGCGGTCAAGAGATCAAAAGATGAGTTGTATTAAGTAAATCTGCTGTTCAAGACCCCTTTAAAGTGTTGAAAAGCAAGGGTGTTACTTTGTGGATTAAAATGTGCCTGACCCAACCCATGGGATTTCCAATGGCCTCATATGCTACGTGGAAATCGGACGTTGAATAAGGAAGACTGAAGAAAAATCGATGCATTCGAATTGTGGTGCTGGTGACAAATATTGAAAGTACCCTCAGTGCCAAAAGGACAAACAAATCTATCTAGGAAGAAGTGTGGCCAGACTGCTTCTTAAAGCCAAGGTTATTGAGAATTCATCTTGCATACTTTGGGTGTGTTGTCAGGAGAGACCAGTCCTTTGAAAAGGACATCCTGAAAGGAGAAAAGCCCTCAGACAGCTGCTTGACCATAGCGACACAGTGACTGCAACAGTGAGATGAAGCAGGGGAACAATTATGAGGATGGCCTAGGGCCATGCAGTGGTTGTTCAGCTGTGCATAGGGTCACTATCGGTCCGAATGGATTCAACTTCTAATGGTAACAACTCTTTCTAGCAGTATCTACAACTAATTTTCTTGTTCTTTGAATCAGAAAGATCTGAAGGACCCATGCGTTCTGTTGTGGAACCAATAGACCATGTAATTCTTCTCTTCCCTTCTTCCTACCCCCGTTCATCTGCTCCATCTTTGTTGTTCTTGTGATGGGCCATCGAGTCCCTTCCAACTCTGAGCAACTCCATCAACAACAGAACAACCCCTGCCTGGTCCTGCACCACCTGGACAGTTGTTGTTAGGTTCCAGCTAGTCTTTGCCAATCCCTCTTGTCCAGAGGCTTCCTCTTTGTGACTGCTCCTCTCCTCTTGGAAGAAGGATGGCCAGAATGCTCCTTAGAAGCAAGGATGGCGAGACTTGGTCTCACATACTTTGGACATGTTATCAGGAAAGATCAGTCTCTGGAAAGGGACATCGTGTTTAGTAAAGTAGAGAGGCGGTGACAAAGAGGAAGCTCCTCTACGAAACGGCTTCACACAGGGGTTTCAACAACGGGAAAGGACTTCATGCTAGGGGGCTTGGGAGAGGGGCTTCCACCTTATTCATCCCCCTGTCCCCTCACCCACAGCCAAATCCTATAGCTTAGTTTCAAAATTACTCATGTGTTTGAACCTACCAGGCATTTTTTACATTTCTGAACCTTGGTACGTGTTTCAGAATTCGAAGTGGCTTTCCTCTCCTCTATCTCGAAAACTCCAACTTAACTCAATTCTCAGGGGTCAGTTCAATTTCATCTTCTTTATCAATCTTCTGGGACTCCCCAGATTGGGTGAGTTGCCCCTTAATTATTTTCCCATATATATTTGTGCTTATCTTATCCTTTCACTTACCAAATTGTATTTTAATCATATGATGGAATAAGACTCTGAAGTATTATCTGACAGCTTCATTACTAAGTGGCTTAAAGGAGTTGGAAGCTTGTTTTGTTTCTCTCTCCCGTTAAGGCATCGAGAGGAGATCATGGCAGCCTCGCAGTGTTATCGGGAATCTAGTGTCCCATCTGCTTCGTCACAGCTCGTAGCTTTCCTTCAAGTTTATCTCCTGTCCTACCTGGCTGCTCCGGGGCCAGCCGTCACATTCCAATTCCTGGAAGCAGGAGGCAGAAGGTGAAAAATGGCATGTCTTCTCCCTTTTAAGGAGAATTTCTACACATCCCGTATGGGAATTTTACCCACATGTAGCCGGGAGGAAATCTTGGAAATGGCGTCTTGTCGTGGCGGCAGAGTGCCAACATCAAACTGAACCAGAAGAAGGGAGAGGGCCTGGACTCGTGGGCGGCAACTTGCAGCCACATTCTCGATTCATTTCCCATCATCCTGCAGGCCTCTTTCTCTTTACCTGTTGAAGCGGACGTGTCCATGGCTTTAGGAAGCAATGAAAATGCAAGTGAGATCAAAGAGCACATCTACCGTATGTACTCGTGAATAAGCCGATTTTTTTTCACCACAATTTTAATGCAATTTTTGTGGTAAATTAGGTGCCACAGCTGATATGCAGGTTGGCTTATACTTGAATATATACAGTAGATGGCTTAAAATATACAGTCATAATTCGGGTATACAGAAGTATATGCACTGAGCCCTTATTTTGATTTATGGCTAAAAACCATCTTGTCCATTAAAGGTGATGTACTCGCTTCTGTTTTAAAATGGAATCGTTTGGGAATAAGTATTCAGTCAAATCCAAGGCTCTTCCCTTCCCTTTTCACCCGCCTTCTCTCAAGGAGGTGGTCTGGAAACCAGGTTTTTTCTGTTTTCTCAAGTTCTCTTGGATGTCTGATAGTTATATCTGGAAACCTCTTAGAGCCTGGGCATTATTCCGATTATTGTTCAGTGAGAATTAATACCAGATGAATTCCAAGGAGCTGGAGGTTGAAGATGTCTCAAATGTCCAACTCTTCTAAAATGCTAATCTGCTCCACCCCCACCCCCACTCCTCCTTTGAGTGCGTATATTCCCTCACTTTCCTGGGTGCTGTGATTCCCTACATTGGCTCACAGAAACCGTGAAACTTTGAGGAAATGTGTCACGTGGTGGTAGGTGCTATTTAGTCCACAATCTGAGGATCAGGCAGAGGTGAGCCAAATGCAGAGTCCAGAGCCAGAAGCCAACAATGTCCCAAAGTCACGGCAGGTCTTCTTGTTTCTACCAAAGCCCAGTCAAGAACCAGAGGTCAGGCTTTCCGGATGAGGTCGTGTGTGGAGGACTGTATGGTGGTAGCACCGTGGTACAGCCAAGGACAACCAAGGGTGTGACCTGGTTTGCATCCAGTCCTAAACTCTGACCTTCGAACTCAGTGCTGGGAGTTCTAGTTGATTCTGACTCATAGTGACCCTATAGGATGAAGTAGCACTGCCCTTGCTGATTTCTGAGACTGTAATTCCTAATGGTGATTGGGAACTCTGGCCATCTGGCTAGCAGCCCAATGCAGAACCACAATGTCAGCAGGGACCCATGCTCAGTACTAACATGGGGTTTTAAAGATGCCCTCAGGGAAACAAAGACGTGGCTCTCTCACACTCTCCACCAAGGTGAGGGCTGCAGCCCAGCCCACTCCTGTCTATCAGCCTAGTGGAGAATGCCCCCCCACCAAAAGAATGGGACCATAGCCACAGGCCTATCAAGTCCAGAACCCTAATAGATCACCTAAGGAACCATGGCTAGAAGGGCCATGTTAATTTCCCATCACTCACTGGTTATGATTGTTTTCTTCTCTTTTGGACCTATCACAGAAGTAGACACAGAAAACAGTTAAAATTGTGACTGATGCGTCTACTTAAAATATCTTATGTAATTAATTCAAATGGTACTATAATGATCTGCAAATCCTCTAAAATTAAAAGTCTATTTCTCTCAAGCCCCTAGCACTCTGTTTATGGCTTTCTGATGACACTAGCAATATTCCATGCTCTGTTATGATGATGAGGGTTGTTGCCTTGCCCTTTCTTAGACTCCCAACTTTGAATGGTGTTCCTGATGCGGTCCTGGCAGAAAGCCTGGAATATAGTAGGCCTTCAGCCAATGAAAATGAACGGCTGAATGAAGAGGGCCTGGCATTTTATAGTTTGCCTCCAATGAATGACTCTTGATATCAATAAAGACAAGTTGATATTTTTGCCTTTAACCGAACACTTTCCATTCTCCCAGGCCCCCACCAACTATATTAAAAATGTTTTTGTTTTTCAGAAATCCTCCACCCACTTTACTTCACCCAGAAAACTGGTGTGAGGAATTCAACCACTTTATTTCACAGTGAGTATTTCTTCCACTGAAAATTGCTTATCCAGCAAGGCCTTGAACAGTGAGTGAAGAAATCCAAGCTGTGGAATTTACTTGGCACTTGAAGTCATTACGCCTACTAGCATGCTATGACACAAGATTTGTTCCAGGGAGTGATAGAAGGTACCTCTGCAGGATCTGAAAAATGAGTTCCATTTGATTTTTTGGCTATAATCAGTTCTCTTGATGAGATGGGTCACATTTATCTGAGGATTTGCTCTACTTCCACTTTTCTTGTGTGAGCAAAGGGAAGAAAGGAGAAAGGAGGCTTGGCATCCAAATAGCTGATGCCCACACTGGGAACAGGGAAGACCCAGGAGGTGCAGCCCCTGACCGTGGTTTTACAGGGTGAGAGTTGTCTCTGTTAGACCAATGGCATGGGAGCAGACCTCTGTTCCCAAGGTGACTGAAGGGACAAAATACGGTCTCAGGCTTGGGGAACCAAAGTATGAAGCCCCAGTCAAGGCTCAAGCAAGGAGGACCAGATGAAAACCCAGCTGACGTCTACCTGGTGAAAGTGATGCCATCAGAAATTAGGCAAGACTTACTGGGGCCAAATCACAAGCAGAAGCAACAGCAGCACCTGGGTGGCTCGTCATCCTGGGATTGCACACATTTGGGCCTGGTCAGAAGAACACACTTGTCCCACATCTGGGGATGATGCTCAGTCTCTAACTCCACGCTGAGGGGCTGGAGAACTGAGAACAGAAAATCGAGACTAGACCCTCCAAATGATGCCCAGAGGAAGGAGCTTAGACGAAGTGCCCCAAAGTCTAGCTTATCGAACAAGGTGTGTTCAAAGGTCTTAGGGGAGGGAAGTAGAGATAAACAAGGAGGGAGGGGTCAGCACACATGTCTCTACTTTATGCACATGCTTAGACTCGGCTTCCCAAGGAGCTGGGACCAGGAGGCACCTCGGGTTTCTTAGTCATCTTCCTTAATCAATCCCAGGACACACCAGCACTCTCCCATCCGCAGCTTTAACATCCAAAGAGCTGAGAATGGAAGCTGGGTTTTGTTAGGTTGGTTTTTTAACCTTGAGTCATTTAGCAGCTAAAGTTACTCTTATGTGAACTCACTGGATGGCACCACAGGATCTGAACTGTAGGGAGGCTATTTATAGTCATTATTTCTCTCACTTTGCGTGAATATTCATGTATTTTGCTGCAGATATATTATTGTGCTTGATTAGAGTGTGCTGCCCAGATCCTGCTGAAGATATTGCATAATATACGGCAAATGCACCCATTTACCTTTCTAAAATTTGCTAGTCCAAATTCCCAGAGATATTTGCTGCCAGGGGGGGTTTGTTTAAAGAACTGTGAGCTGGTTTTTCACTTTCATTTCAAACATCACATAGTTCAAGGTCCTTCAGTGCCTGCTTGTTCAATCCCTCCTGGGTTTGTGTCATCCTCCTCAGGAGGGAGACGAGGCAAGGAATTCACAGAACTCTGTCAAGAACGACCCAGTTAGAATATGACCGTGAAGTGCAAGGTCAAGGACAGTCCCTTGTCCCTCTAGCTCCACCCTAGTAGTTCTGTGACGACTGCAGAATGCACTATGAAAAGTCACAAGTCAAGAGTGGTGGCAGTGGGTGGTATTGAGAGGGACAGATAGTCACCGGAGAGATGATGTCCGCAGATGAGCAAAGGAGGGGCCTCATGCTGAAGTTTAGGAGGAACGCTGAGACAGCATGGTGTCTGAAGCACATTTCAGACCCCCCAGGAGCAAATCAGGGTGCTGCGGTCCCGGTGACTTTGCTGGCAGAGGCTGCATCCGAAGATTGTTGCTTTCCATCCCGTTGTGCACCCAGATGCCCTTGGCTGACCCTTCTCTAAGCTGTTGGCCTAGAAAAATTTATTAGCTATTCACGAGTGTGCCTTTCCACACCAAGCTCTCCTAGTGCCTCCCAAATGTGACCTAATGCACAAAAGTGTGCCTTGTGTTGACTTGCGAGAGTATATGTGCCCTGATGCTAGGGGCAGCAGTGTTTAGCCGGACCGGAGAATAAAGGACCACAATGGGTGGGTGCATTAGGACTTTTAGGACGGTCGTTCTAGACCACATTATAGAAATGTCACTCTACCATCTATTCTTCCTTATAGCACATGTGATCATAGACAAATTGAAATACTTTCCTCCTAACATTGAGAATTTCAAATGTACGAACCTTGAGTTCCTTTAGATGCAGGAAGCCTTTGTTACCAGGAGGGGAGGCTCAGTGGCAAGCCTCTCCACCCAAGAATTCTCCTTTTCAGAAACGTAGCTCTTGAGGCGGGGGCTTGGTGATCCTACTTTATATTTTTATATAGAAATCTGCCCACCATTTCCAAATGGTTTCCGTTTGGTTTTGTAGAGGATCCACTTGCGTAGGCTATTATTACTCAGCCTGCTGAATGCAATTTGACTTTATTATTTCATTGTATTTATTCAAGTCTCTAGTTTAATATAAACACAGACACTCACTGGGCTAGAAAGGTCTGTTCCAAGAGAGATGCTTGGCTTGCTTTTATACCTGTCCTGCTCATTTTGGGGGAAGGGAAAGCAGGTTAGAGGGTTAAAACCTTCAGGTTACAAACTTTCCCTTCAGGAGGGCCAGGGGTCGGGACAGGAGCCTGGTCGTATAGTGGGTTGTGCATTGGCCTGCTAACCATGAGGTCAAGAGTTCCAAACTACCAGCTTCTCCAAGGAAGAAAGATGCAGCTTTCCAGTCCCATCAAGATATGTCAGAATTGATTTGATGGCAGTGAGTTTGGGGTAAGGGCCATGATCATCGGGTAGT